TCTCTGGGGCCTCAGCTGCGCCCAGCTGAAAGCCAGGACAGCTGCTGCTCCTACAGCACCACACAGAAGGAACAAGGCCAGATAAAAAGAAGAAAAACTTACTGACGGAAACTTATAATGACATGGCAATAAATTCCTATGCACATGCATATATATAATATTTTCCTTAACCTGAATTTCTCAGCAACTACTCAAACCCACAGACTTGTCAAATCTGGTTGTTTGCCAGCTGCTTACATTTCTCTGTGTATCCGTGGCAAGTATAAAGCCTACAAGTTATGATAATTTTGAGAGAATAGCTTCTCATCCTGTAGTAAAATTTTCAAGTCAGTTAAAAAATAAATGTCTTGTGTGAGTTTTGTTCATCCAGTAACGCCCTTCGCTGGAGGTCCCTCATTCAGAAAAGGTATCATGAAGAAGTTCAGTGATGGTAACCAAGTACCCTAAATAGAAGTAGTAACTGGAAAAAGAAAAAAATTAACAATTGTAAAACTAATAAGCTTTTCAGACGTGACCTCTACATGAAGGATGGCTTGCTGCCTCTATAAGATACTGTAGAGCTGCAGAGGAAAGACATCAGATACTACTTGCTTTGCTTCTCATATACATAACAGATTAATAATTTACATGCAATGAACCAAAACCCCAAGGACCTTTAAGTCAGAAACATGAAGCGGTAACAGAAAAAATAGGTCAGAAGATGAACGTTTTCAATTGGTTTTTCCAGGCATTTAAAAATCAGTCAGTTGTGTAATACTGACCTCATTATATTCTTTAAAGAGATTTATAAAGTGGGAATGAGCTGTGTATGAGGCGAACACTTTTATTCCTGCTTTAAGTTCAGTTTTCTTAACTAGAAAAAATTCTACCAGTATCTTGGAGAAACGATGTTCATCATAATGATGGATCAGCTTCTCATCAAAAAAGAAAATACAAGGGGCAAGGAAAGCAGGACCCATGCTGTGTGCTCCCTTTCAAGTGTCCCACAAGCGTAGCTCTGGCAGAAAAGGGAAAGTCCAGAGGCTCTTCACTGACATCAGAACTGGAAACCAGAAATATTCCTGTCTGTCAGGGCTGATCTGAATCATGACCTCATGTTCTCCCCCATCTCCTCGAGCACGCTGAATGGAGGAACGGAGGAAAGAAAACGCACAGATCAACCCCCACCACCACCCCAGGGAATTAGAAGGGCATGTGATAAGGAGCCCAGCTTATCCCTTGGTTCGAGCAGAGTGTCTGACACTTCATTTTAGAGCCTGATGCAAGTTGATATCAGGATATCCCCAGACTATGTTTTTAAGACTTGGGACTGATTCTCCAAATCACAGTTGCATTGTTGCCAGCAGATACATTTCTGCTAGCATGTTCATGATAATTAGACCACCGCTATGTGAAAATGGCACTTGATGCAAAGTCCCAAAGACCGACTCCTGCTCTGAACAGAGGAAGGCAACCATTTATGAAGAACCTTGTGAGTGTCATCAGCTGTCACCTTAATATGATGACCACAAGGAG